GCAGACCCGCGCCCCCCCCCCCAACAAAAAAAAAGAAAAAACGACAGAGAGCCACTGGGACCATGTGTTTGGCATCAACTAGCTGAAGGCCGCAAGCTGTGGCGCTTGGACCAAGGGCTATGTCAAAGCTGGGCAGGCCCGTAATCAACCACATCTCTCTAGGCTCGGAATGGAATTCTTTGGGCGGCCGGCTAGCTTGAGTGCTGGCTTGCGACCCTGGGCAAGCGCTAATTTAGTCAGGATCTCCTGTTTTGCTTGTTTGCTTCTTTGTTTGCCTTTTTGCTTGCTTGGTTGCTTGCTTGCTGCTTGGTCGCTGGCTGCCTGGCTGGCGGGCTGGCTGGCTGACTCGCTCACTTGCTCGCTCGCTTGCTCGCTTGCTTGCTCGCTTGCTCGCCAGCTTGCTTGCGCCGTGTATGACAGTGATTTGCCGTCGGTCCCAAGCATTGCGCTCCTGCATTTTGTCCCCCCAGTGAACATCCCAATCCCCACTAAAATAGGTCTAAAAATGGGTGGTGCACCTATCCCAAAATGGGATCCCAAAACGGTTTTGACGACCACAGCCATATTGCACCTGCTCCCCGCAAAGCATTTCTCATTCGCAAAAAACGGCAAGGGTGGACAAAGCGTCTCAGTTTTGACCCATGGCCCGCGTCAATTTGGGCGCCGCAGTTCCCGCGGCACTCAGCCGCCCGCGCCGCCGCCCAGCATGCCAGTGAGCATCCTGAGCTCACTAAGACGCGGCGTGAGGCGCGTCCATGCCCAACGTGCGCTGGACGTGCACGTGCACAAAAAGTTGACTCACTTGCTGAGCAGCTGGCCCCCCCAAAAAAAAGTCCAAACTTTATATGTACCTCTAAAATGGTCCAAACCCAAAAAGTTTAAAGCTCATGAACTCACGAGACGATGGACTACTGATCTAGCGGTTCTTGATTTTCGTTTTGGGGAAGGCTAGTTCGGTTTCCCCTTGACCACTTACATATCCTGGAACGCATTTCCCCTGGAACCCTGAGAGCCTTTTGTTACGCAACCCTGGCAACTTGGCTGTTTTCGCAGGGGGCCGAGTGTTGTCCTTTTGGTTTCCATTGGGGCGTGCATTTTTGTTGTAAGGGGACCCTTCTCTTTGGTCTTCAACAAAGAGAGACATCCATTCAAAATTGTGAAAGGGGGTGACCCTTTTGTCCCTCCAATTTTTGAATGCAAAAACGGGGCACGTCTTGTTTCGAGGGGATTCTTTTTCGTGTCTGGTTGTGAAGGGCAAGACAAGCCATTTCAAGTTAGGGGCTCTGTCAGGAGACAAGCCCCAATGGAGTCTTTACAGAGGTGATGGGTCTTTGTCTCAAAGAAACCCCTCAAATGCTTGGTTTCCCTTTGGTTTCCCTCAAACCGCCCTAAAACAAACATAATTCCCTTCAAACAAATTGGCACACCCAACCATGCGTTGCTTCCTTGAGGTCCGGATCCCTTCCAGTTTGCCCCCCTCTGAGGCGCCGGCTTGCCATCCTCAGCCGGGCCGATAAGAATCAAAAGCTCCAGGCATCGTGGTCAGGACAAGTGGCCGTGGTGGTCAAAACCAATGGGATCCCATTTTGGGGTAGGTGCACCACCCATTTTAGAACCAAATCTAGTGGGGGATTCGGAATCTTGACTGGGGGCTAACCGATTTGGATTTTGACCCATGGCCAAGTAGCTTTCCAGGGATCCGTCTCTTTTCAGGGATCGGACCGCAAAAAAAGCCCATGGAAAACAGCAAGAACATAGGTGGCCTTTTGGAAAAATAGATGGCCCTGGTAAATGGAATAATCCCCATCTAAACCAGGGCCCTCTATTTTTTAAGCAAACCAACCAAAAAGGACACCTATGGGCAAGAATTGTTGAACAGCACGATGGTTGAACATTTCAAGAATGGGGAAACAGCCCCTAGAGCTGTTTAAACCCTTGTCGGAAGGCCTCCGTCCTTTGCAAAGTGGCACTTCCATGGAGGGAGGGTAAGTGCCACAGGACCTCCACAAACAACATTGACAACATGCTCTCTTTCTGCGATCAGCCCCGAACAAAAAAGAAAAGAACAAGCTCAGGTGATATCCCCAACAGCATGCGGTGCTCTTTTTCAGTGCTCGCACCACCCCGCAAGCCTCGCAGAACCTCTTGGAACCCTGGTGGAACCCTGGTGGAACCCTGGTGGAACCCTGGTGGAACCCTGGTGGAACCCTCGTGGAACCTTGCCTCAGGGTCGCCCCGAACCACCCCGGAGCCTATCTGGGCTGAGACCCCAAAGTTTTCAGCTGTTGGGGAAAAAACAACATGCTAAAGCTGGGGTCCTTCTCGGGGCTCAATCCCCGGGTATTCATAGTGGCCGTCCCCCTTTAATGCCTCAAGTCTGTTCGACATTAACGGTGCGGAGTAGCGTTGCCTGCGACCTCACCTCTTTTTCCGCTGGCCGGGTGTGTGCGTTTTTTGTTGTGGGGGGGGGACCTGTAGCTTGGGGGCGGGTTGCCGTAAAAATGGCAACCTCAAAAGCAAACACGCCCGGCGGATCGTTCTCAGCCGCCGGCAGCCTTCTTCGGCATGCCCTGCGAGGCTGAAAGGAGCCAGTCAGTCCCAGCCCAAAAAAAACAGGGTGCGCAAGTCCTCAAATGTCCATGCTGCAAAGCGCCGGACTTACGTGGCACATTTCCAGCTGGGATCCCGCAACAGAGGGCTCTTGGGAGATGCCCAGCCCCCAGAGATCCGCTCGCCTCTTTTTGCCGCTGGCCGCCGGAAATGGACGGCGACCGACGGCCTGAGTAGTCTTCTCTCGCTCGCATCCCGTTTTGGCACTTGGCCTCGCTTCTGTGGGAGGTCGGCAAACCAAAATTGCGTTGCACATGAGGCTCCTTTGAAAATCCACTCACTTCAATTCGTTCACTTCGAGCTCCGACGTCTGCCTTAACCGCACCAAGTACACGTGACCAAATCTTGAAACCCATAACTGACAAACACTTAGAGCTAGAGTTTCTATGATCCTGACAGGGGTAGTGGCCTCTAAGGTTTGCGTAACGCGCTGGATTCACTAGATCAAGCCATGGAAGTTCCAAGTAGGAGGGGATGCCTTCCTGCACATCCAAAAGCCCAAGACCATTTGCAATGATGGGCAGCGTGATCAAGCAGCCGGAAGAATACACCGCTCGATTTTGATCGAAGTGCGTCCCCTTTTGGGGGAAGGGAACACCCTCTAAAAAGACAAGAACCGGCATATATGTTTGCATACATAAATGTATGAAACAAAATCCGGGGCTCCCATCAGGTTGGCGGCCAAGCGCTCGCTGACCACAGACTGGGCGCCGGGCGGTTGGGGCTGCCAGAACGCCTCCGTTGCGAAGCGGGGGCCAAGCTGTGGGGGGTATATCGCCATGGCGCCCTAAACCTGCTGGTGCGATAGGCAGGGAATGACCTTGCGGGTGTTGGGAAACCTGCGCTGAAAGAAATGGGGGATTGTTAAATAGCTCATTCCCATAGTCGCCGACGGCCGGCCAGTAAACCCGGGATTGGGGGCCGCAAGGCGTCGGCAACAACCATTTGGGATCCTCCTAAGATATTGAAAATGAAAGGGATGGTTTGCAACAGCTCCCCTTGAGGCACACCTCTGCTGGTTTCCTTTTACTGGGCTGCCCTCAGATCCCCTGCTAAAAGTTTAACTTTTAGTTGTTGAATGGAACTACCACTTACCACTAAACACTACAAGGCTAAAGGGATGGCTGGGAGCCACCAAGTTTAGGTTCCCTTTACGGCACCAAAAGGGTACCATAAAACAAAGACCCGCCTAATGGAAGCAGCCCCTTGAGTCAAAGATAGGTGGGTACTGCCCCAACAGTTCCAGGAAGAACCTCCTACCCTCCGGAAGCCTCTGAAAGCGGGCACAACAACGTGTCCAAATGGTGGGAGGGCACACTCCAAGGCTTTTTTCCCACAGCTGCAAAGAGTCACGGGAAATCACCACCCTCAACTGTCAGTCTGGTCATTCATGGCCCCTGGTCTCTTATGGTCCCCTACGCCATAGCTTTAAGCTGCTGGGAGGGGAACACCTTAGAAAGACACACCACGCCTATGTGGTTCTCTATGGCGAATCTGGCCTGTCGACCCCATAGCTTCAAGCTGTGGAAAATCCTTTTTACAAAACCCACCTTTTTTTTAAAGAGCAAGTGACATCCCCAACAGCACGCGGCGCTCTTTTGCGACCCTCACCTTTTTTTGGTTCGAGACCCCTTGGTGTTCAGCCGTTGGGGAAAATGGGAAAGCCCTCCTTCCATTTGGTTTAGACCCCTGGAAAAAAGAAGAAGTCCAGTACTGATAAATAAATTCCTTTTAAAACCAACAAGGGAAAATAACAAGTCCTAACATCCCTTGGCAAAATGCACCAAAGTATACATACCTGATACCTATATATATATATATATGTATATGTGTAAATGTGTGCATGGTACCCCCCCCCCCCGGTGGAAAATAACACATTTTCATTTCAGCAAATGGAAAACCCCTTGAAATTCGACCCCCAAGCCACTCCGCGCCTGGCACTTCTGGACCTCTGTCTGCTGCGGGACCGGGCCCGCGGCATGTCCGGCCTCGGGGAGGTGTTTGGTTGCGTTGCATCGGTACAACGGTTGGGGCTTTGTCTTGCTTTTGTTTTCTTCTCCGAGTGCCTGTTGTTCTTTCTTCTTATTTTTTGCGAGTGCTCTTTTCGGGTGCCGCTACGTGGGGTTTTGGAGCGGTTGGCCCTACGTGGGACTTTTGGAGTGCTCAAGAATCGGGCGCCGATTTTGGTGGGGTGTCGACGACGACATTGACTACACTCAAACCCTTACCCGGTTACTACCCCCAGGTGGTTTTTGTTGGGTAGTGCTTTGAAAATAGCGCAGTTGGTCTTAGAGGGTGCCTGTTTTTTGGTGTGCCTATGTTTTCCTTTGTCAATTGCCTCGGCGGTCTAAGATGCCGAACGGTGACGTTTGGGCATGCCGAAACCTGGAGATTAATTCTCCATGAATTTCCTGGTAGTTCTCGTCTTTGACTTGCTTTCCTGAGTATCGATGTGTTTTTCGTGAAGTCGCCTAAAAACTACTAAAATTCCTATATGTCCGTGAGATCTCAGAATTGGTGCCTTTTCACGTTTTCCCCGCTCGCAAAACACCCGCAAAACTCCCGCAAAAAGCCCGCAATAATTAGGAAAAATTGCGTTTTTGTTGGGTTCGGGGGTCGCCCAAGACTCGGGAAAAATCCATTTAACACGCCAACAAAAAAAAACAACCACACCAAAAACGCCTCGGAAAAGGCCGAAGAATGAAGAATGAACCTTCAGGAAGGGAAGCCAGCTGCATGCGTCTGGTGCAAGTTTTCGCGAATGGCGACTGGCTAAGCTCCGCGCCAACCCGCTGAAGAGTTTTTCCACCCACTAACACCTACGAACATGGAACCCACCTGGAACACCCACTACCCAAAGAGTTATTTACTCGCACGGGTTTGAGGTTCATAGGACGGCTGTCCGAGCAACTAACCGTTACTCCATACCATTGCACCTAACATGGAACCTCGCTGAGTGGACGACTGGTTTCCTTTCAAGGGGACCCTCTGGTGAGTTCCATGTTAGTTGGCCAGGGGGTATCATGAGACACAAACCTTGTGTACAAGGACCAAAGTGTCCGGGAAAAGTTGGAGATCTTTGGGTCAAATCCAGCTCTCTTCGGCCTACCAGTCAAAGGCTTCAGCTGAAAACGCAAAGTTTGTAAGGCCTTTGAAGACCCCGTGGTTCTCACCAGTGACGGTCACGGCGAGTTTGGACGATCTTTTTCCGCGCGGGCTGTCCTGTGTGTCAGCTGGCTACGCAAGCCGGGAACCGCGTGGCAAAAATGTGTTTCTTGCCAAAGTCTGGGACACACCACTGGCTCTGGTCTCGGAATCTTCTAAAGTTAATTACGGCTTGCGACAGAACACCCCCCCTCCAAAAAAAGCCTCGAACCAAAGAAAACGACACACATGTTTAATTAGTGGAATCTCGTGGGGCACCCCCGAAATAACCGGGTTGTAAATTTGCAGGGGGGTTGCTCCGCGGAACTGCCGAGCTTGAGCAGCAGCTCATGGCATTCGTCGTCCGGAGGCTTGGCCTGCAATACCGACGTCAGGGTTCCCGATGTCCACCGTCAGCATCACCCTTTTCAAGGAAGTTCACCTAAAGTCGGCAACCAAGTGTTTGAAACCACCATTGACGAAGGGGGAAATGGAGTTGCAGCCTTGAGTGTTGCCCTGTGATTCAACGTGGGCTTGGTGGAAAATATGTAGGAGGATTCCGAGGGAAACTGGACATATACCCGCCCTACATATTGGTCACACGGGCCTGGGGTAGTAGTGGAAACCAGCCAAGATTTCTGTGATATCTATTCCCTTCCTCCGCGGGAAGATCAAGTTCCTCTTTCAGGGAGCCTCTGTCATGTAATCATGGTGGGAGGAAGAGTGGGTCATTACATAAGGCGACCCGGGGCACCGAAATTGGCCCGACTCCATGCCCCTGACATCTAAAGGTAGCCCAAAATGCCATCCAAGAGACTGGTTTTCGTGCAACGCCCCGCCTCATGGGATGGTCAAGCACTGCTTTCACCTTCCTGCTATTCTTTTTGGCGGCTCGCTTCAACTAAACCATCGCTGGGTTCAACTGAGAGCAGCATGAGGGCTGAACATGCAACTGGCACAGCTTCAGCGCCGGCAAGCGCCGCAAATGCCATCTGCGTCTAGCTATCTAGGATGCCTGTGTAGCTGGCGTTGCGTGGTCGTATGAAGCAAAACAGAGCTGCACAGTCTTGAATGCAAAAGAAAAGGAATGCTAGCTACCTACAGGTTCCTGAAGGATTGTTTGTGGCTAAGCCGGCTGATATGCTTGGAGGGCCCCGAGAAACATCTCAAATGGCGAATGACGGCAGAAAGGTGCTTCTTCGACCTGCATGTTTGCGGGCAGTGGAGCATGGTGTGCCCCGGCGGAGGCAACGGCAAAATCGAGGGGTCCCCGCTTGGGGGAGGAAGGCTTGCCGAAATCTGCTCAAAGATGCCCCCCCAAAAAACAGATGCCGAAACTTGGCTCAAGGCCACCAAGAGTCGCAACATCCCAGTTGGCCCACCATGTCCTCGCCAAAAAAAAGAAAAAGAGAAACAACTCCTGATGACGTTTTCCGGAAGGCTCCCTCTTCGGAAAAGCAAAAACTTGGGACCCCCAGCTCCCCCTGGCTCCCTTCAGGCCTTCAGGCCTTCAGGCCAGAAAGAGCTCCAGTCCTGAGGCTGGGAGAGAGGGTGCGTTTCAAAACAAAACATCCCGGGCCTCTACTTGGACACAGAAAAAACCTAGGGACGGTTGGTTCATAGGGGTCCACACACAAAACACCAAAACTCTGCGGCCACACAAAACTCTTCGTTTGGACTTGCTGGTGCGGTAGGGAATGAGAGATGGAACGCCCCGAAAAATGAACCATCCGACCGGTGGTTTCCTTTCGGGGGACTGAGTTGACTCCCACATCTTCGGGCCTTCGGGGCTAGGGAACCAAGCTAGACCCAATCTAGTTGCACGGGTCCATGGCTGCCCGAAATGCGCCGGTGCGGTTGCTCAAGTTCAAACACCAGAATACAACTCAACCTTACCCCTTAAAACTCCCGAAGCCCTGGGGAAGCTTTCATCTCTTACAGACATCTAGCCCATGCTACCCAAAAAGTTGAGAAAAGCTTTTGTTTTTAAGAGGTAAGCAACAGATCAAGCAGTACCAATCCTTAGGGAAACTGAAATTCCGACAGTGCTCGACGATGGCTCTTGGACCGGGAGCAGCTGGCTCCGAACAAAGGGTCCCCCATAGGTTCACGCCCGAACACGCACATACACAGAGGTTCATGACAACTGGTGGCAACTCTGAGAAACAAGGTGCATACATATATATATATATATATATATATATATACATATATATACACATAAATATACACACATATATATATGTATATGTACATGTACATGTTTCTATCTACATTTATACTTATATGCATATATGTATAAAGCAAACAAGAGCGCGGAGTGGTTTTCTTGGTCAAGCCCCGCTGCGGACCCATCTTAGCACCAGCCGGGCGCGCGCTGGTGCCTCTGAGCGCGGTGCTCGGGCGGCCCGCGATGTGGTCGGCGGTGAATCTGAGCTGCAGGCCTCGATTTAGTGAAATCGAGAGACCCGATGGGTCAGGCGGAACGTTTTTTTCTGATCCGCGAAAAAGTGTTTTTGTTTCCCTCGTGGGTTGATTGGAAACCAACCGCAAAACCAACTAGAAAGCTAAAACCGCGAAAAGTGAAGATTTGGCCATGGGTCAAAAGCCCGGTTAGCCCCCAGTGAACATCCCAATCCCCACTAAAATAGGTCCTAAGATGGGTGGTGCACCTACCCCAACATGGTACCATTGCCCCCCCCCCCCCCCGTTCCTTTTATTTTGGGGGGGGAGGGGAGTTTTGAAGGGCAACCAAAGCGAAAACTGATGCCGGGGGTCCGGGGGGTCCCGAAAAAAAGAGAACCCCGATGGGAAACTGGAGCCAATTGGTCCAGCAGTTTGCCCAAGCGCTAAGGCAAATGCTGTCCAGCGTGACGCGCTGATGGAAAAAAAGGGACCTGGAGATAGGGCCGACAGGAGGGCCAGTCAATATGGAGCTTGGCGCGCGTTTCATTTCGGCTCCGGTTGAGGCCTTTTTATGTCAACAAAGCAGACCAAACACGAAACCCTGGTCTTCCTTTGAGGCCGCGTCGCCAGAAACGAACCGGGTCCAAGCAAACCAGGTGGCTCATGGGCCTCTTGTTTTGGAAAAGCGCCCATAAGGTCAGACAAACCCAGGGTTCCATGTTATTTTTTGCAGTCCCAATTGATTTCCCATTAACTTGAAAACTCCATCACCACCAAAGAAAATGGCAGACGGGCGTTCATGTTGAAGGTTTAGGGGTTCCTGACATGTGCCGCTGCAGCGTGAACGACTAGATTGAATGGTGAAGCTCTGAGTTTTGACTTGACGCCGGTCTGTCCAAGGCCGGAACATTGGTCCTTCTGGTGGCGCTCCTTAGCTCTTGCCGCTTGCCTCTCTCAAAGTGGCTGGGGCGCCCTTTTCGCAAGCGCTCAACGGTGAAAAACTCGAAACCCGGGAGTTAAATCTGCTCTACGATCACCATTCTAGTCCATGGAGATGCGAGGTGGTACCAAACAGTGACCCGCTTCGCCTGGCTTGCAAGATCGAAGAGAAACCAGAAGGGAACTAACCTCCGATTCTTGTTTGGGGTCGGTACTTCGAGAAACGAGCAGATCGGCAGATAGGCCAAGCCCTTCCAGGAAGAGGCGCGTGTAGTGCAGGCGGAGTGCTGCGAAGAAACAAACCACAAACCACAAACTACGGGAGCTCTGATTGAGATCCAACCTCTGCACGGATGCAACCAATGCGCAAGGCTGCTTTACAGAAACTGCACACAAAGAACACGCAGAGGTCAAAGCCATTTCTCCGCCCGGCTCCATCCCCCCAAAATAACACCGCCCGGCGTCCCATGACTGGCTGCGTCTTAGTTTGGGAGGTGCCATTTTTTGTGGCGGGGAAAAAACACCATCCCCTCAAACGTTGATCCATTCACTGGTGGTTTCCCTTGATCGCTGCCATGTTTCAGGGCCGTTCAGAAGCCCCGGTTTTTGGATCAACTTGCTGGCGGCTTCCCTTGAAGCTGCCATTTTTGGAGCTTCCCAAAAAGAAGAGACGAAGAAACCCCCGTTTTGGGGCGGCGCGGGGTTTTTGGGGTGGCGCGGGGCCCGCGAAACTCCCGCCCGCCCTCATCGCCCGGTGTTTCTGCCGTGGCTCGAAGAGCGCCCCGGCGGTCTCGGCGTGGTGGATGGGTTTGCTGACCTCGGAGCCGCAGCCCAGGATGGAGCGCAGGCCTGCGAACGGGAAACAAAGCGACCGGAAAGACGGGCGAAAAAGACATCAAGAAACAAAGAAAGAAGGAAGGAAAGACAAAAAGAAGGAAAGACGAAAAAAAGGAAGAAAGGAAGAAAGGAAGAAAGGAAGAAAGGAAGAAAGGAAGAAAGGAAGAAAGGAAGAAAGGAAGAAAGGAAGAAAGGAAGAGATAGGAAATAATGAGAACAAATAAAACAAGAACATCACAGCACAACATAATTCAACGAAACGCGACACAACACCATATACACATAGATCTATATACGCACACATACACACGTCCCGCAACCAGACCCCGCTGACCGTTGAGTATAGAGGGCCCCAACTAGAACCTCATTCGCGAATTCCTTGCCCAGTAGCACAACAATCATACATCAACATGCATAACTCTGTCTTCATATGCATATTCACATTTATGGGTGTGCCATTTTGTTTTACGGGAACCCCTCCTTGGCTGATGTTAAAAGGAACCCCTCCCCCACTTGAGGGTCCCCTACACCCATTTTTATAATGTGAAAAAAATATATAGATATATTCAACCCTGTATATTTTGCTATATATATATATATCAAAAAGGTATCAAGTGGGCAGAAGGGCGGTCCTCCACACCCGAAAAACCCGCAACAAGCTGGGTGGTTTGGAGGAGGTTTCCCATTGCCCCACTGTAAGGGTTTGCCATTTGCCGTGTGGGTCAAAACTAAACCACCACCACAGGTTGTGGTTCATGTTGCCACTTGCCAGGGCAAGCCATTTTGGATACCTATTTTTGACCCACAGACATTTGACTGGACAACAGCTGCCAGGGCACCCGCGACGATATATATGAGTGGAACACGCTTTTGCCACAGGCGTGCGGCAAAGATCTGATCAAATTTTATCAATACTGAAAAGATTTACCAATCTTAAGAGAACAACCCTTCGTCACGAGACCCTAATCGCGAACCAAGCCCCTTTGTGAGGTCGCTACAGTTTCCTCCAAGCCGCTATTTGAAAGCGGCGTATCCCTCGTGGGTGGCTTGTGACAAAAAGACCTGCGTGCTTGTTCCAAGCATCGGCGCTTAGGTGCGGCACGGCGCTTGTACCTACCCCTCTCCTACGCAAGAAATAAATGGGCCTGTGTTTCTTTGAGCGTGCCATATCTGGTTGGCCTAAAGGCAAACAAAAGGAACAACTCCAATTTTGGGGGATATTTGTACGGGTCTCGATGGATTCGCGCCTTGCTCCGGAACATCTGCCAGCTTTCTCTGCAAACTCCTCTTCCTTGGTTCGAGCAGCGGGGGGCAAACACTGCCCTTCCGTTCACTCACGTCAACCCCGGATTAAGAAACCCCGAGTTGATTCTGACCAGGCCCCTTTTCTTGGGGATTCATCACTTTTGGAGGGGAACACCTTATCACTAATAGGACGGGTCTATTTGGGTCAAAAGGGTCCTGGTTTGGACGATGTTCGTTTAGAAGGGACCCCTCAGTCAGGCTCCGTGTTAGTGGACAGGGGGGTAGTTTTGGTCATTCCGGGGAAAGCCGAGCAAGCGAACGTTTTTGCTGAAAGTAGGGCATACACTAGAAGCAGCCAATGGCGTAGTGTCATAATCCGTACCTGGCATCAAAAAGGTCAACCAAAAAAACGGCACCCATTTATGATTCGGATTAGTCCTTACTAACCTTCATACCCGGGTTTTGATTGTGGCTCAAGTGATCCTCAACGACACACCCAGCCTATGCAGAGCATCCGGCATACCAGCAAATTGCCGCGGTTGAATTCTATGCAAGTGTGAAATACAAGCGAAAACTCAATGCTAAGCCCATGCTACACTGTTGATTTCTGCTGCTGGAAGCCTTGCTCAGAAATTTCGACATATATTGAACAATGGTGCACAAGGGCTCCTGGGAAACACATTTCCTAAGAGGACCTCTTGTTCAAGTTCCATGTTGGTTTTTGGGAGCCTACAGGGGCGCATTTCTCATGAGGACCTGCGTGAAGACCTGGCTTTTCCCTGCACGCCACCGGCATGCAAAAAAAAAAAAAACATCGCCAGGCTTCAGCGCGGTGCAGGTGGTTTCCTTGGGCAGCAGGAACTTCACGGGCCTCGGCGAAAATTCCGGGCAAGCTGGTTGCAAAGCGACCAATTTGTATGTCTAGGCGGCCCTACCTTGAGTTCCAAGGGCTACCTCAAAAAGTGGTTGGTGAACATGCATACCCTAAGTCATATCCAATTGAAACTCATTCCCATGTTCGGTTGGTAAAGTGCTAGAATTCCCAAAGAAGGGAATCTCCTACCATGAGATCGAGTCTCGCTCCTGGGACGGGAATTCTAGATGGGTCCAGGTCTTTTGGCCCGAATAAAGCTGAGCTGAGCACGGTGGACACAGTCTGGGCCACTGGTTCGTCCCCTGAAAGTGCCTGGAAATAGGTAGCTTCCCTCCAAACACGCTGGATCTTTGATCGCCTTCCGCAGTGTGAAAGGGGTTAGGGCCTCCAAATTCGCACAAAGCCCATGAACTGAAAACCCCGTAGTTATAAAACCCCAGTGAAATCATGGGGGAGTGTCTGGCTTGAGTGGGGCATCACTTTTGGAAGCAAGTTCCTTTTCGCCGCTGGAATGGGTTGATTCATCCGGGGTCAACGCCCAAACATTCCGTGCACCGCGCCGTCTCAAGCCGGGGCCCCCCTCTTGAACCCGGGGCCCACGTCCCAGCCCCATGTCGCGCCCAGTTGCTTCATCACTTCCGGCCTCAGCCCGGCCGCGCTCTGTGGCTTTGGCACCGACTGCTACCCAAAGCTTTCCGGCCCCTGTGGATGGACGAAATCCATTTCGCACCAACTAAGAGGCCCGGAATGAGGGAGGATTCCCCTTTAAATACCGAACAATGGTTTCCCATGGTTTCCAAGTGAGTGGTGCAGGATTTTGTCCATCCACAGTACGACCAGAACTCGGTTCCGCGCGACGGTTTGTTTGAAAGGCCGCCCCCTGTTTGTCACTTACTTCCATGGTGGAAAGTGGGTAGTCCTTTGCTGGCACCTTCCCGAGTGGCCATGGCGAAAATCGAACCCGCACTCTATTTGTTGATTTTGAAGGAAACCCCTCCAGTGTTAACAGGGACACAAGTCTAGAAAACAATTTGGATGTGGCTTTCGTGTGAGATACTACAAGGCTAAAAAATGGATCAACAGGGAAAAGACCGGTCGAATTCCACACAATGTTTTGCGGCGCGTTGCTTCGTTGTCGCAATGATTCAATGATCGGTAATAAAACTATATATATATAACTATGATATGACGATATGACACTCACATATACAACCCCAAAATGATGCTCAAGTTCATGTGGGCCACACAACTCTTTTATATAAACATACATTAATACATATATAGATCTACAACCACTATATACCACTCATGGAGCCCTCCGATTTCACCCCTGGCCATCTGGCCGCTTCCCCATGAATTCCACCGTCTTCGCCGAAGCGCGAGGGCTCCTCGTTGGGGTCCAGCGCCGGGAAGCAAACCGCCGGGACTTTGTCCGGATACCGCTCCCTTAGCTTGGGCACCTCGGAAAAACCCGCGTGCGGGGGTTGGGCGGTTTGCGGGCGGTTTGGGGGGCCATACCCTTGGCTCGAACCAAGGGACTCGGAGAGGGCTCAATGGTTTCCAAGCAAGGTGCGAAATGGATTTTTATTTGGGGGCTGGGGGGGAAGGAGGGGAGGAGGGAGGGGACCCAAAAACGCCAATTATGTAGGAAATATTTGGGGTTCCCCCCCCCTTCCGCACCCTCCCCCCCAGCCCCGATGAGATTTCGTCCAGGATGAATCAACCCGAAACCGTGTTCCCTCCAAAAGTGGTCTGATCCTCACTAAAAGCAATTGGACACCCCCCCAATCAAAATCAACCAGGCATTGCTCTTAATCCGGGCTTACCATGACCAAAAACTCCCCCAAGAAAGGCAGAACTGACACATGTCCGCACCTATCCAACAAAGGCTGTGAGCCAGCCTCGCAGCTTCTGGCCTAGTTGACCTGGTCTTGCTTCACACAGCAGCGGACCTCCCCCGGACTCAAGCCACCCCGCAGGAAACGTCCAACCCACGAGATCTCTCGCAGTCATCGGTGGCAAGCGGCCTGCTGCGTCCAGGAGTGCACGCTGGGCAGAAACGAAGACCCAATGCTTTGGCTCTGGCTCGTTTCGCTCTTGTCCTCCCCCACCAGGCTGGCGAGCAAGGAATCATAGACCGGCATCACCTGAGTCATCATCAAAACCTGGTTCAACAGAGTGGTGAACCCAAGACCCTGGAAAGGCCGAGCCTATTTGTGGCTGGGAGTGTCCCTTACTAAACTTCAGCTACCTTGGCTTTGATCGTGCCTCGATCTCAAGGGCGAGCCCTCTGGGACCATCTTGACCCCCGTGTGCCAAATGGGGGAGACCCCTCCAAACTCTCCGAGCTTTCTCTCCCTTTCCCCTCAAGCCATGCCCAGAAAGGCGACCCTCCAACAGCAGCGAAACGCTTCTGGCCCGGGCGCAGGCGTGGAGTACCCACCCTTCTCCGACTCCGACGGCACGGGCGTGCCGGGCGTGCCGGGCGCCGGCGCGCACGGCGCGCTGGCCCGGCGCACCGCGCGGTAGACCATCTTAGACCACATGCGCCTCTCTAAGTGGGGCAGAACCCTCCGACTTTTCTGAGTTTCCCTCAGAGGCCATGCCCAGAAAGGCGACCCTCCAACAACGACACGACATCTCGCTTGCTTTCTGCTCCACTGCTAAATGTTGAACTGTTACAACCCATTAATTGGCAAAAAAGCTAAAGTCCTAACATCCCTTAGCAAAATGCACCAAAGACATGCTCTTGGCCCGGGCGCGGGCGTGGAGTACCCCTCCTTCTCCGCCTCCGTCGGAGTCGGCGCGGGCGTGCCGGGCGTGCCGGGCGCCGGCGCGCAGGGCGCGCTGGCCCGGCGCACCGCGCGGTCGGTGTGCTTCGTGAGCAGGGAGAACGCCCTTCGCAGCCGTTCCTGGGAACGGACCACCGGAACGGTTGCCCAAATTTTGGGGGGTTCAGATACCACCAGTAAAAAATGGGAGTTGATACAACCACCATTCTTTACCCAACGTTTATCTTCTGAATTGGGCCAGCTTTTCCTTTGGAGGTTAAACCCTCAGGTTGAGCTTCGCCGGAAAAATGAGAAGCTATTCCCAGTAATCATAGATTCCCTTTGGGGGGGGGAGGACATTCTTAAGCAATACTGGGCCCGCAGCTGGGGGACGCAAAAAACAACCCCAAATAATACGGTGGATGGACAGAATCATGCACCATTTGAGGTGGACGAAAGCCGGTGAATAATGGTGCAGGACTTTGTCACAGAAGATTGGGCTGTCCCCCTCGTCTTTGCGAGATATTCAGGTTATTTGCCGACGCCCTTGCAAACGGCGGCTTCTTGCAGCATTGTCGCTAGTGCTGAATGATAGGCTAAGGAACACACTGGTAGTCGATTTTCAAAGGAAACCTTGCAAAGAAAGGGAAAACGGGTGTGAAGGTCTGGGGAATAGATGGACTCCCCAGTGTCCCGGGAAAGCCCATGAAAAGACTCATCTTTCGAAGATCTGTGGGTGTCCCGATAGCCAGCCTATCATCTGGCTGGTCAAAAATAACCCCAGAATGGATTGCGCTGGTAAATGGAAACATGGAATGAGCCTGTGGTCCAATTCCGTTTCCCCCCCCCCCCCCGACCCATACCCATCTCTCCCAGCAGACCTCCAGCCATTTTCGGGCACGTGGAGACCCAGGAAACGAGAAGGCACAGGTCTCCTGTTGACAAAATCGATGGCCCTGGTGGGTGTGGCTCAAAATTAAACGATCGAGGGGGGGGCAAACCGCAGGTTTTGGGCACCATTTTTGCCACTTACCTTGGGCAAGCCATTGTGGAATTCCGGTTTTTTGAGCCACAGCCTGGTAGACGATGAAACCAGTAGGTCTACCAGGGCCTTTTACTTCTCAAGCCGAAACTGAACAAGGACACCTGTGGAAGGCACGGATTTTCTCGCGCCCGAGGAAACTCCGACGCCCAAACCCACCACCCCGGGCCCCGGTCTGGCGCCCGAGCCGCCGCCACCAGGGCCGCCTGCGCCGTGTCAAACTTCAGCACCGGAAGGATGAGCTCCGTGGCGGCGTCTTGCACGCAGCCACAGTCCACCGCTAGGCGGCACATGCCCTCCTGTCATAGGCTTGCTATAGCACTCCTTCTAAAGAAAACCCCATCCCAGTAACTGGGCTGCCTGCAGATCCCCCGCTAAAAGTTGAGAACTTTTAGTGGGTTAAATGGAAACTTCCACTGAACACTGAAAGTCAAAAAAACTAAGGGGATGGCTGGAGCCACCAAGAAGGGCCGCATGGCGTTGCTCGTTGCCTAATTCCCGGTATGTTTGTGTTTCTCAAGTTGTGATCGGAAATCCGTGTTGGCCGCCCTGGCAACGGATTTGGCTGGAGTCGAAACTCCCTCGGGCCCGCAGTTTGCATCTTGTATGAATCAAATTGCTTCGTGTCCCGCCAACCGTCTTGGAGGCTGAGCTCGGAAATCTTGAAAGTTCGGGCCCGCAAGTCCGACAAAACCGCCCGAAACGATTTCGCGCCCCAAAAGTCCAAAACCAAACGTTCGGTTTAGGTGGTGGTACGGATTCCGGGAGAACCTGGGGCCCCCAACCCTGCGACCGACAGCTCAACTAGCGCCAACAAGTCGACTCCAAAAGAAAAAAGGTTTGTTGCAAGGTTTGTGGCCTAAGGCTGCTCAGTTCAACAAGGTAGACCCGGATCCTTTTGGTTTAGATGGCGCTGTCTTCAGCTTCTGGGTGGCAAGCTTTGCTTTTTCTTCTCGTTGGCTGGTTGGCATCAGAAGCAGGAAATAAGGCAGCTGCTGACACGGGCTGAAGTGCGCGTTTCAAGGAGGACACACTTGGTTCCATTGATCTTTGACGTCAAAAAAAGAAACAAATGTCAGCACCTAATAGTCACTATTAGACCCTGTTCGTGGAAATTAGAATAAGAAATCCCTTTTGGGGGGCCCTTGGCAACCATATGACCCTGGGTCGGACAGCCTCAACACATAACAGCCAAATGGTGGGTCAAAGGCCAAAAGAAATGTTGAGAGCCACTCAAAATGTTCACTCTGGACCCAGTCCTGGCTCTCCATGTTGTCCGGATCCACCGCAAAAGCCTGATCCAAAGGCGCAGTGAGATCGGGGTCACTAGCTTTCCACCTCAAAAATTGCACTTTACTAGGGGTTGATTCCCCATCGTTCTTTTCAGAAACTGGCTGTTTCCCCTGGGTTTTTAATGGCTTCCTGAAAAGAAAGATCCCTGGAAAAGAATGGGGAAGGTACCCCTAGAACTTTACTGGTGGTTCCAGTTGAATTCCCCCTGTGGGTCCAAAAAGGTGCAAAGGGGGGCAACATGCTGCAACGAGCGTGACTAGGTGAATCGCTTGGCTGGCCTTGCAACATTGCACCTTCGCAGTCCACCAAATGGTGGGGGCCAAAGGTTGAGTCCAAGATGGTTTGCCCCCCTTGAAGCGGCAGGGGAAGTCTTTGGGAAGATCCAAGAAATGCACCTGACCTCCCACCCGGCTTCCCAGGTGCCGAACCCACTTCGTACCAGTGGATACGTGGTTTGCCCCCTGATTCATAATCTCAGCTGCCGTGGGTTCAGAACGCATGTCCTGCAAACCACAGCGCATGTGCCCTAGGTGCAGCGTTTGTCAGATTCTTGCAGGCTATGCACCAACTTGCGTGACGTGCAACGTCGAAATATATCATGTTTGGCCCCCAGCCAAAGAAACTTCATCTCACTTGCCCAAAGGAAAAGCCTTGAAATGGAAGGTTCATGCTTTTGGGGCCATGACTAGAATTCTAAAAATGGGAAATCAACATGGTCAGTTCTCTTTGGGCCAGTGAGCCGTCGACTGTTGCTTTCATTGGTAGCAGCCAATGAGCCCGGGATGTTCTGGTCGCCCGTTCGGCGGCTTTCTGGGGGTATGTTCCACGTCCATTCTGAGCCCAGGGATCCGAGTCTTTCCAGAAAGCCTGCTTTGAAACCCAGGGAAACGGATCCGGTTTTTCGAGAAAAAGAAACGATGATTGAAAAGAATGGACAAGGAGTCACCCCCTAGAGAAAAAGCCCCAAGATGGGTTTCCCTTGCCAACAAAAAATGGTCCAAAAAGTGAGGCACCCGTATGCCAACAATGCGGGGCTTCGCAGCCACTAGGGGCACCCGCTTGATTGAAGACCAACTCACGAGGTCTCAGACTCGGAGCATTCGAGTGGGAAGCGCTGGGTCTTCCGAGCCCCGCTTCTTTCAAAATAACGGACTTGGTTTTGGGATGGTTTTGGCACAGGAAAGCCAGAAGGAACACTAATTCCTTCAGTTTGCTTGCGGGGGGGTCTTTCTCTTGAGGCCTTCGTAATTTGGGCGTCGTTTTGCGGGGACCACAGAACCCAACCCCTGGCGGAGAATGCCCCACACCCGCGATTTCGCTTCAAAAGCCGAAAAGACTACACGCGGTAAAAATACGGCCATGAGTCAAAAGCCCGGTTTTCCCAGTGAATTTCCAACTTCTATCAAAATAGGTTCTAAAATGAGCGGTGAATTCACCTACCCCAAAATGGGATCCCATTGCTTTTGACAACCGCAGCCATATCTCACGAGTCCGACGTCGCGAGTTTTCGCCTTGCGGAAGTGGCTCAAGGCCTCCTTCTTGCCTTGGTTACTGTTGACCCCCTGCAAAAAGTGAATCACTTTTTGGGGGGGTTAGTGGAAAACCCCTAATGATTTCAACCAAACAATGGAAAAAAACTAAAGATCCGTTGCCCAATAGCAATCAAGGTTGAAGCTTCGAAATGCCTTCTGGTAGGCTTGCGGTGGGGCTCACAGCTCCTTAAGCCAAAAATCGTTCTAAAAGGGAACGACCAGTTGGAAGGGCTGCCAAAATTTACTAGGGTACCCTTGAACGGGACCAGTTGGGAGGAGGGGTTGTAGTAGGGTTCACAGACTCCTCCCACATTGAGAATGCAAACGTCTGGGGTCTGTCAAGTTGCGGCCCTTGGCTTCCAGGTGACACGCCAAGCGCACCAAGAAGCCACTGCCCTCCTGCACCTGCCACGCGGCGAGCGGGAAAAAAACAAAAAACACGGCCGGTGCGGCGGTGCCTCAAACAAACGTTTCCCCCCCCCCCAAAAAAAAAACGCAAAAAAACAACTATCAAAAGAAAAGAAAGGAAAAGAGGTAGTAATAACTAATAATCCTAATCATGCAACCGAAAATGACACTGATAATGATAATGGTAAGAAAGAATAGCAATAATCACAATAACCGTTATGTCAAAACCATGACTGTAAGAAAAAATCGTGGCGGCGTTTGCTTGGTCACCCTTTTTAAAATTCAAAAGAAGCCCATTGGCTCTCCGGAAAAGCCTTTGGGAACCTGGGGTGGGTCACTTGATTCCCTCTTTCTATTCTTTCTTGGATGTTCAACCAAACTAGAAAGTATGTTACGTAAGGGGACCAATCCCACCTGCCCAAATTATAGCCATGGCCGTGACCTACTCACCAAACGGGTTGAACATACTGGGTTCCAAGAAAGCTGCCACTTTGGGTCCAAACAGGCTAGGTCCAGTAGAGAGGATAGAATAAGGGTACCGTTTCTTTTTTCTGCCGTCTATTTTAGGGGCTTGCCCTCCCTTGCCCAAAAAAGGGGGTGCGGGCACTCAGAAACTTCGCAGGGAATCACTCGGGCCATGCCACAGCTGAAGAGAGGTCAGGCTTTCTCTTCTTCGCGGCTTCGCGGAGCCTCCCCGGCACCCAGCAAGGCTTCCGCCAGCAGCGGGAGCTGTGTCCTCAAAAGAAGGGACACAGCAACTGCCAAAAAATCCGCTGGAAACATCCCTAGAGGCACTTCCGTTTCAGCTGGGCAAAAAATCGAGGGACCCCTGAATGGAGAAAGGGTTCGGAACCCTGGCCAAAAGGGAAAAAGGGCGCCACTGGGCAACTGGGTTCAACCCTTACGAGGCCAGACCGAAAGCCACCCTTTTGCCATGACAATTTGCCATGACAAGCCTGCTGCCCCCCCACCCCCACCCGACCCTTGAAATCGCAAACTGAAGCAGACGGAGAAGCATGCGTCCTGCAGCAGGCGGGAACCAGCCCAGCAGAACGTCGAAATGGCAAGTCTAAAGAAGCAGCAAAGCAAAGCATGCGTCCGGCATCGGCGGGCCGATCTGCAACGGAAGTTCTTGCCTGGACAGTGGGAATCGAGACCCTTCCCGGTTTCCACCATCTTGTCACCACTCCTTTGAAGGAGAAAAGGGCACAAACCTCAAGCAACACCTCTTCGAAACACAACCGGTTGCAACCCAACCCGATCACGTGCGAATTCGACCGCCACAATCGGCCGCAACATGACGACTATACCTAGGACCTCCATTGTGTGTAAAATAACTGCTTTTTCAGAAATATCTGCTTTTTCACCCCTGCGAGCGCTTTTCAAATTTGCGAGCGTTTTTCCCAATCATGGAATCTTCGATAATTCTGCAACTTCTGCACTCATGATTTTCGCGAAAAAAGCGGATTTTGCCGGTCAAAAAGCGGATTTTGCCGGTCAAAAAGCGGATTTTCCTGCCATTGAATACGCTGCCCGCTCCAGGAAAACTATGGAAGGAAGCAAGGCTCCAAAGAGCACTTTTGAATCGAAAGGGCGGACTTGAAATGAAACGACGGAAATTTGTGCTTTTTCATCAAACGGCATAAATTTTACACATCGGATGTTCTAGGTATGTGATGGAATGCGTTAGACGAACAATCACCGTTACCCATCTCGCCCACCAAAAAGCAGAGATTTGAAAGCAAGTCAGCTTATTGCGGCAGAGGGCATCTTGATGCTCAAAAAGCACAAGCCTCGCATTCCCGCTCGGAGATCGTGATTTGCTTGGGTACCGCCGGCTGCGACAAAGTCACAGAATCGCAAAAGCGGAACTGCGGGTTCCAACAGCGGTTGGAGCGGTTCGTCATTTCCGTCCGCCCGCTTGGGCTCCAAAAACGCAAAACTGGTTCCCTCCAAGTTGTGCTTTGGATTGGGGAAGCTCGGGCTTGGTTTCCCAGGTGCAAGCAAAGCTCCAAACCACCAAGCCAAGGGGTACCTGCGCGCTGCGCGCGCAAAAAAAAATAAAAGTTTGGAAAAACCGGTTGGCCGGTGCATGGAAACCTCAACCATGTGCTAGCAAACGCCATCGTGGTAAAATAGACGACCCGTTTTGACAGTCCACCTCACCATTCTCAGGGTGACTTGTTCTAGGGGCTGATTCCCCATTCTTTTAAACCATCTTCTTTTTGAAAACCAGCTACATGGTTTTTTGGCGGTTTTCTAGAAAGAAGGATCCCTGGAAAGAATGGGGAAGCTACCCTTAGACTTGTGGCGAATTCTGCAAGCCGAGCTTCTCCGTGAATTCTCGCCCGGCCAGCGACAGCCGTGAGCGCAGCTCCACGAGCGTGTCCCAGCGGTGCTCTGCCGACAAGAGCGCCACCACCTCCCCGTCGTCCAGGCACCTGAGCCGCCAAAAGCCAAAAGGGATCCCTGTGCTTCGTTCGAACCGCACCCACCAAAACGAAACTTGGTTGCTGTTGACCCCCCTGCAACAAGTGAATCACTTTTTGGTTTAGTGGAAAACCCAAACTGATTTCCCAAACAATTAAAACCTAAAGATCCAACCCAATAACTATCAAGAAAACTCACCGCAAACATCGACAAACAAAAAGGGGTGGTGGCTGGCCATCCTCGAGCAAGCGTTGCCTAAAGCTGACGAGCAAGCTGAGAAACACCGCAAGCATTCCTTCACATATGTTGCAAAGAGCTAACGCATTCACGCGAGTGAAAACTCACAGCAGTCTCAGCCAGGGTCTTGGTTCCATTCGCTTTTTCTGGGTTCAAAGGGAGTTGATCCACCAATGAGGTTAACTCCGAGGAGCTCATGCCCCTCCTCGAGGCAAGTCAGCAGCACCTCCGATGCTCAGGTCTGTTGGCTGGGCAACCAACTTGTGCCCGTTAAAAAGTCCCTCTATGTGGGTGTGGGTCAAAAATCGGTACCCAAAATCGAACCCTGGTAAATGGAAACGTGGACTAAAATCTGCTGTCTTTGGTGGTTAATTTTGACCCACGCCCATGTTGAGGCATACCTGGTAGGGAAACCAGAAGGAAAGCAACCATTGTTAGGGGACGCCAACTTGAGGAACACTCATATGTGGTGAAATCTCACAGCAGGTGAGGTTACAGATTCCTTGCAATGTCTCAAAGCGATACTTCCCCCCCCCCCAACAAAATACACTGGGGTGGTTTCCAACTTACCTTCTAAAACCACCTGAAAACGCTTGGGAAAAACATATGTATGTTTTCTGAGGAAGTTAGCATTTCTGATGCCAGCGCTCATACCCCTTCGCCCCAGTCATGCCAAGCAATCCAAGGATCACGCCTTGAGCACAGGCTGATCATTACGTGATGTCAACTCAGCCCAATTAAAGGCATCTCAAGTTCACTTGCGCATTCACACCGGCATGTCTTCGGCAAACCATCACAACGGTTGTTTTCCTGGCATCCCTTGAAACCTGCCAACAGGAGGCACCCTCACACGTTCCTCTTAACCAGGTACCTTCACAAAACCACCTCCCAGCAAGCTTTCCCATCTCATTTCCCGCCCCCCCCCCCCCCCATCCTTCCCCCCGAAACGCCTCCAGTAGCTTGCCCCGCGCGCTGGGCTCCTTCGTCCACTGCCAGTGCTGGCGGTACGCCGCCGCCGCCGCCAGCGCCTGCCCCGCCGCCAGGCACCGCCGCCCCACGACGGCGGCCACGGCGCCCAGCGACTCCGCCGCCGTGCCTGCGACCAGCCAATTGGTGGATTGGTGGCTTGGGGATTTGAACCCCTGGTTCTTGCATTAGATGGGTGTGGCTCAAAATTAAACAGGAGGGGCAAACCGCAGATTTTAGTCCACGTTTCCACTTACCAGGGTTCTATTTTGGCATTGGTGGTTTGGACCCGCGGCGCGGTTTCAGCGCGCACGCGGCGGGGTCCCAGCGAGCCGCTTCTGCGCGGCTCGGCTTCCTCCGAGAAGTTTTTCTGCGCGCAGATTTGGCTTTGTGTGGCGCTGTGAGGGCGCTTCTGTTTTTGGTTGTTGGTGCAAAAATTTGTGCCCTGCTGCAAATAGACAAAAATTGGTGTGGCGGCGAAGGTTTGCCAAATGCACGCATCATTCGCATGATCGCATGCATAGCATGCATGGAAGCAGCCTCCCACAACAGCTTCAGTCAAGCTTTCCCCCTCCAGCTGTGAGGAATCAACATGTTGTTTTTAATAAACGGCCCTGAAAAGACGCCACGCGCAGCTTTCAAAAAAGGGTGGTTTGGGGCCCCATTTACTCTCTGCAAGAACCAAAATCCCTTCAACCACCAACTAGGGGTTACCTGACTAAAAAAATAAGAATAATAAAACGAAAAAACTTGCCACCACCGCAGACCCAAAACCTGCCAGGTGCCTTTTTTCCGCACCGAGGAAACAACTTGCCCGAAGCCCGCTTCGTTTCTCCAAACTCCACTGGGGCCCATCTAGGCCTCCAAGAGTCCAAGGGAACTCCGGTGGAAGGGCCCCCCTTATGTCACTGCTATGGTGATTGACTTACCCCTTAAAACTCCAAGCCCTGGGGAAGTTAATCTTTTACAGACATATAGCCCATGTTACCCAAAAAGTTGAACAGTTGTGTTTTTAAGAGGTAAGTTGACATGGAGCCACTGATGATACGCTTGGCCGGCGAAATTGGTTGTCGCTTTGCGGGCGCGTGTTTCGCGCGTGCGGTGAAATCGAGCGGCGCAGGCTCAGTTGAGTGGGTGTCCTTGCAAGCGAGCCTCCGCAGACTTCTCTGACAGCTTGCAGCGGCAAACCACCAGCAAATATGCCTGCTGCGAAGAAGCAAGCTATGATCATGCTCTCTGGACAACAGCGAAACAATTCATAAATCCGTTTTTGTACGGGTTTTCCCCCGCCAAGCCCTTTCACCGCCGAGTTCCGCCCGCGAAAAAAGAAGAAGAACAAAGTGGGCTCTTTGTCCCACGTTTTTTTTTCCCCTCTCCGGCCCCGGGCGCACGTCGCACGTCGCGCGTTTTGTTTCCCGCTCGACCAGAAGCCCGGCCTCGGCCCAGCACCTGCTGCAGCACCGCGAGGTCCGCCGTCTCCGCCCAGGGCTCCAAGTCCATGTCTCGCCCAAAGCTTTCGATCAGATCCACCAGGCCTCAACACCGATCCAAGCCGATGGGGTGATCCATGGGGGGTCCATGCAAAGAGATACAACCAACCCAAGCCCATGAGGTGATCCATGGGGGTCCAACAAAAATATGTGAGAATATGCTTAAGGCGAAAATGATGCCATGGAGAGCTAGTTGGGGAAATCTTTCGCAAATGGCGGAGACTTGTTTTTGTGGATGCCTGGCTACAAGTCAATCAGCAAGTTCCGCACATCCCTCCACACATAAGCGAAAGTGGGGGGCTTTGCCACTTCGGCGACCTTTATTTACATAGGATGTTGTTTCCACCGACCAATTTGAGGGCCTTCCCCATGAAAAAGAGGATAAAGAAAACCAAGAGCAACATCAACCCCAAAACGGAGGAACGCGGCGGTCGGACCCCAAAAGTCGAAAGGTCGCCATTCTTTCGGCCCAGCCGTTCTGCTCGGAATCACTTTATAAGCCGTGTGAGTTCAGTCGCTTAAAAATTAAAAACGGGCGGAAGTACAGCTATGGCGAATCGTCTCAAAACGATAGGGGGGGCTATTTGGGAAAACCCTCCGAACAAGAGTTTGTGAGGGAAGCAAAAGGAAGGGATTAAAACACAAGTATGGAGGGTGAAAAACAAGTAAGCCCCTTCTAGATCGATATTCAGGTTGGCGCTTCTTGAAGCACCATCTGTCCGACTCTCTGGTTTTTGCAGCCCATACGGCGTACTGAAAGTGAAAAGGAACTGAACCAACAAAAATGACACAAAGTGTGAACAGCATCTTGGCTTCGGGGAATGCAATACTCAATCATTCACTGGAAGCATTGCAACATTCCAAAAGTCAACCACCCGCAGCGGATCTGCCCAACCCTTGGCATGCTTGCATGGATAGAGTAAGTGCTTCAGCCCCTCACGTGGAAAATGATGCTCAAGAACATGCTGAATTCCTGGTAGGGGTCCCTCTATGAGCCACTCATGAGAAAGCCTTGGTTGAAAGGGAAGCCCACGCAAGCAAGAGACAGAGCGAACCGAAGAGGTCCCTTTTGTGGCCATTGGACTAAGCAACGCGACGGGGGTTGTGGACATCCCTATGTTGGACAATGACACTTCCTGGCAAAGCTATGCCGAGGGCTTGGTCCATAGGTTCCTCGCAAAACAAAGCTTGCAGCCTTCCTTCCAAAAGCGGGGCGGGTAAGTTGTAGACACCTGCTTGGCTGAAACTGAGGAAGTGCCCTTGCCATTGCTTCCAGCCTAGAGACGGGTGATGTGGGCTTCATTCGGCAGCATCTGGTACCGGTGCACCACCACATCCCGCAAAAGGCATATAGTGCCCGCCCGGCTCGATTCCTTGGCAAATGGCAAATTATTCATGCGGGCATTAATTCAAATAGGTGTTTGGTGAACATGACTTAGATGGGGCTTCATTCCACCAACAAATTGGGAAGTGGATACCCATTGAAACTCATAGCCATGTGAGCCATGCCATCATCCCTTAGGCCATGTCAGTGGACGGTGCAATTGGTTGCCCAGCTGGCCGCACGAGGTCCGCATTTCAGCCACGTTTCAGCTGTCAGTGCTCCAACCCACTGCCAACCCCCAACGAGAGTGATACATCCCCCTCAAGAAACACCAAAGTGTTAGCTTTTGGAGAATACTTCTGTACATGTCACCTTCCCCAAAATGGGATCCCATTGGTTTTGACAACCACTACCATGTAGGCCCATACCCTGCAAGAGGCTAGTTCCTTTGGTCCTTTGGTCTTGGCCGAGTTCTCCCGAACCTCTGTCTTTTTCGGCTCTTCCCGGGTTTGCGGTGTTTTCTCAAAATAGGGGACCCTTTTTCAGATGGCTTGGGACCTGGGAAAGCGAAAGGAAACCACCTGCAGAGATCCCCAAGTTGAGAAACACCCGCTTTGTTCTTTAAAAAACAGGTTGGATGTGGCTTTCGTGAACCACCCCTGCACGAAAAAAGAGTACTAAGAACGAAGCTACAGAGCGACAAGCAGCTGAAACCCACAAAAAGCGCAGGCAAACCGTTTCTGGGCTGCCCTCAGACCCCCCGCTGAAAGTTTAACTGTTGGTGGGTGAAATGGACAGTTCCACTAAACACTAAAAGGCTAAAAAGCTAAGGACCCGGATGGATGGAAACCACCCAGTGAGATGGGCCAAATTGAGTTTCAAAGACGGGGACGTGAGATTGACCCTTAGGACTCCTTTTTCTTCAACGTCCCCAATTCTGCTAGAATGGCTGGACCAAGGTATAGAAACTTTGGCAGAAACCCTCCAGTTGCCCTTTGCCCGCCCGGCCGCATGCTCCATCTCCACCTCCAGCTTCTTCTGCAGGTTCTCCGCGATGAGACCCACCGGGCCGCAGGCGCCAGGGCCGGCCCTCGGATGGTCGAGCGGGGGAAGGAGCCCATGGTTTCCTTCCATTTGGTCAAGACCCCTGGAAACTATGTCCAGTAGTGATGAATTCCTTTTAAAACCAACGAGGGAAAATTAAAAAATAGTCTTAAGCAAATGGAAGTTTCCAGCCGACACCCGGAAGGCCGTGGGTCGAAATGTGTTGGCCCCCCAAACGGAACGGGTAAATGACGGTAAATGGAACCAAAAAAACAAAGCCGCAGTTTTGTGGTGGCTTAATTTCGACCCATGCCCAGAAAACTGAAAACGGAGCCTTGCATGGAACGCCAGGTCCCACACTTCCAGCTTGGAAAAAAAGAAAAACAACAATCCATCCAGAGCACAGGCTCGAGGCGAGAGATTCCAATGGGGGTGGAATCCCAATTTGTTGGTTCCCCTTTGGCTTTCGAGACATGACACTTTTCTGCCATAGAAGTCGATCAAATCCGCAAGCTTCTGCCGACATGCCGAACGGCGACGATACCAATGTCCTTACAGAACTCCTGGTACCCTCAGTTGCCCCTATGGGACCTGGACATAAAAGGTGATCACCTTTTGGGGCCATGACTTAAAATGGGCCAAATCACCGAAACAAAAAGGTCAAAAGGTCGGCTTTGGGCAAGTGAGTACCTACTTAGCTCCCTCCGCACCCTTCCACCAGCCAGACCGTTGCAATGGCATTTAAACACTTCAGAGTTCAATGTGGGGCACTGGGCTTATTACGAAAAATGATTTTTGTTAAAGCAGCCAAGGTCAGGCATGTGTTCGGCAACCAGCGAGAAACACACACGCACACACAAAACAAAACAAACAAACAGGGGAAACACGAGCGCTACTCGGAAATTCCGTCGAAATAGGTGGGAACTTGGCGACATTGGCAATGGGCACAACGCATAACCTCCCGCCCATAAACGTGAAAGTGGGCGGACAGAACCCTTCTCTTGAAAAATGTAGTCGGTTCACTTCCATGTTTCTTGGCCCACATCTGGGGTACACAGAAAGTATAGGTACAGTAACATGTTCTGATTATGTTTCATACTGAGTCAACCCTAAAATACTGCGGATGGACGAAATCCATTTCGCACCACCTTAGGTGACCCTGACGATTCCCCTATAAGTACCAAGTAAACAATAGTTTCAACCATGGTTTCAAACTGGTGCGAACAGATTCCGTTCATCGTCCGCAAATAGTTTCCGAGGAGACCCCGTGTTTGTGGGAGGGTGCCTGCCCCCCTATATCAAGTCTTGCTCTCAGGCTTCGAAGCGCGTGACATCCGCCGGCGCTTCGAGGAAGACACGTCGCTTGGGCCTGTGTGGCGTTCCGGAACGGCGCATCGGACACACGACCTGTGGCAACTAACCCACCAACCAACCAACCCACCAATGCCTCCGAACCATGGGCTTGCGACACGTTTGGTTCGATTCTGGCCTTGCTTGCTCACCTGGTACAGCTGAAGGACGGCATCGAGATCCATGTCGTCCAGCCTCAAACGCAGATCCGAGTCCGAAACTTGGTAGGTGCCCGTCTCTGATTCTCTGACTCCGGAAACATCAGCCCACCTCTGAGCATGTGAGCCAGCCAAGTTAAAACCTCAGGGCCTGTTTTCTGACCACTTCCGCGCGCCCCCTTTTAAAAAAGGAGCCGCTACAAACCTTTCGTACCCTCGAAGGACGGGTCAATTGGTGTACGGGCAAGGGAAGCCAAATGCAAAACCTGCGCCTGAAACGGAGTTCCCATTTTTTGCACCCCCCAAAACCATGATTAGAGTTAGGCCCAGTTATAGAATGTACATGTTATTGTTTGCTTCGCTTTGGAGTCACTGGTAAAATGCAAAATGTATCCAAAGTCTACCCTAGAAACGAACTCCCGAGAAGGTTTATTTTCCCTTCCGAAGCTCGGATTACTCGTTAGGTCGCGGGCGTATGCTGGACGTGAAGCGCTTGGAAGTGCTGCACCAGGTACTCGAAGAACTGCCTGGCACCATGGGTCCAAAGGAGAATCGACAGAATGCCCATGCACGCATACAGATACAGTACTTCCATTTGCTTAAGCCACCTGGAAAGCCACCTGGAAAAAAAGGTCCACTAGTGATAGATATTCTTTGAAACCAACTAGGGAAAATAATAAAAAAAACTTCAGCAAATGGAAGGTAGTCAGAAGGAGTAAGAGGAGTATGAGGCCTTGAGCAGTGCCCAAAATGCTCGTAGCATCGAGGGCTGGCGTTTCCGACGCGTCCCAGTGCCGCCTCTTCTTCGCCATGAGGATGGTGAGTCGCTTCAAATCGTCCTGCGTGCGCTTCTCCTGGCAGTTGAGCGCCCTGAGGGCAGAATATGACAAGGGCAAACCTGGGTATGCCTTCTCTAAGGTTTGAATTTTCAAAATGGAGCAGTTTCCTTTTGGCCTCCCTTTGAAACCAAAGAAAAGGTACCCTCCAAAAAACACACACTCATCAAATTCCAGACTATGACATTTGCCTGGCCGATTGATAGGGCGCGCTTTTAGACAGGAACTGCAAGCACTGCACGACATTCTCTGGCCGCCCCAACCTGATTTTCCCCAAAACTCTAAGCCGGGGTGCTTCATGGGCCACTCATTCCTGAGATGGGGCGTAGGTCCCACGTGCGCACAAACCGAATGAAAAACACCCAACTCAAATGAACTTGCCCTCCCAAGACCGTGGAAGCTCTCAGAAGGCCTCTGCAAATGGAACCAAGTCGTCCAAAGGGGTCCTGAAATGGCCACGGGTCAAAATCCCGGTTACCCCCCGTGAACATCCCAATCCCAACTAAAACAGACTAAAATGAGTGGTGAATTCACCTACCAAAATGGGATCCCAAAACGGTTTTGACCACCACCGCATGGCGTGGAGGGCACCCGACTCGCGACGTTTTTGGAGAAACCGCGGGTTCCAGCGCCAAGCTGAGCAACTCCATCCACTCCGCGTCGCCCTCTGAGAGCTGCTTCCTTCGCCTCGGGTCGGGAGGGGCCACCGGAAGGAACCTGAGGAAAATCCTCCAGATTTGAGCGCTTAGAAGGCTAAACTTTTTTCCGTACTAAAGCAGACTCTAAAGTCTATAGAAGGGGAACCCTACCAGAAAGGGGTGAGAAAGGGCACTGGGGGACCTAAGTGTTGACCCCCCTGCAAAAAGTGAATCACTTTTGGGGGGGTTCAGTGGAGGACCAAACATGATTTCAACCAACAAGTTGAAGCCTAAAGATTCAACCCAATAGCAGTCAAGCCAACCCAATACAAGATTCAACCCAAGATTCAACCCAAGGAAACGGGGGACAGCTGCGCGAGTCTGGTTTCCCCTTCAGACCGGCTTCCCTTTCAAGCCAGTGAGCAATGCATGGAACCCACCAAGAAGCCCCTTGTTAACTCCTAGTCTTTTCAATGTTGGGCTTTCAAAACTCGTCAGGGCCCCCTCTAAAGGTCCATCATCACCAGCAAGCTCGGTTGTACAACGGATAGTGGATCTCTCTCGAGTTTCTACGTGCCATTGCAGGCGGCATGACTCGCCTTCTTTAGATGTGGCATGGCTGGCCGAATGCTGAAACTCGCTTCGGATCGGGGTTGGTGTCCTGACATGTTGGGTTTTCGTGTCTCTGTTCTTCCCCTGCTGCAATGCTTCCCTCTGGCTGGCACTGGATCCGGCGAGTTCGGGTTTAGAACTTGCGGACATGATGGAAACCCAGGAGTGAGGCACTCCTGGTTGACTACTAGGCATTCTAGGGGTAACTTCCCCTTCTTTCCAGGGATCCTTCTTTCTAGAAAACACCAAAACCCTGGGGAAATGGCGATCCAGTTGTTGCAAAGAACGATGGCTGAGAAGAATGGACAAGGAATCGACCCCTAGAGGCAGTGGTTCGGCTTGGCGGTTTGGACCTTTGGTACAAAGAAGTTTGGGTCACCTGAACTAGGGGAGTAGAGGGGAAAACCAAAGGGGGCTCAACGTTGGGGCGGATTAGGGGGTTAAGGCTTCAGTGGATTTGGATTTTAGGCTCAGGGTGGGGTTCCGATGGGTGTTTTGCTTCTAAGCAGGTGGGTTGGTTTATCAAAGTTTCGGATGGACCCAAGGGCTGTTTTTGCCGATTTGGGTGCGCCTTTTTTGGGGGGGAACCACTTGTCGGTTGATGTTCAAGGGAAACCAAAAGGAACCCCGACGGCCATTTGGGTGTGGCTCAAAATTACAGAGCTAGGGTTACGCAGGTTTTGGCCTTTCCATTTACCAAGTTGCCAGTTGGGTACGTTTATTGAGCCACAGCCACTCGTCTGTGAATTTTATAATTCCCAAAGCTGAATCAGGGGATCCCCAAGTAAAGGAACCATTCTCCAGGTGAGCTCGTTCTACCCCCGAATCGGTGAGCTCGCTCTAAAATATAGGCAGATCTCCGTTTTTCGGATGGGCCCCCCCGGAGGAGGAAAAAGAAAACACGCCGAAAAGAAACCCACGGCCAGGGCAAAAAAGAAGAATTAAAAAAAGCCGCGCCGCCCATGGCGCGCATGGCGCGTGAGGCGCGTTTTGAGCGCGTGAAACGCGTGAAAGGCCCAGGGGCATGTGCGCGAGCAGCGCCTCGGGCTTGCGGAACTGGGGCAGTTCCAGGAGGTCCCCCTGCACCGAGCTGTGGTCCTCCAAGCTCCAAAAAAGGGGGAAAATCCGCCGCCGGCGGGCGATGGGTCAAGGCAGGTTGGAGTTGGTTTCCATTTACCCGGATGGCAGTTTTGGGGCACCGATTTTTTCGAACCACACCCAGCAAGGGCAGGAAGGGCACGAGAAGTCATTGGGATCCTCTTGGCTTGCCAGATGTCCACAGCAAAGGGCAGGAAGAGCAACGAGCAGTCGTGTGGAGATTTTGTTTTTCCCCCTTGATTTGGAGTGGCTTCACTCCGGCAACATCGCGTGGGCATTGAACAACCGAGTCGTTGAGTCGTCCTGCTTCAAGCGCTGGAGCACTTCGCCCACCAGCAACTCCCGTTGCCGGTCCTGTGCCCAGAAGGGAAGTGGCTGTGGCTGAAAAAAGCGGTACCAAAATGGGTTGCCCAAGGTAAGTGGAAACATGGACCAAAACCTGCGGTTTGCCTCGCCGATCGTTTAATTTTGAGCCACACCCAAGTGAATACGACCGAACGCCCCAAGGAGTTGCACATGGCGGGGCGCGGGTTTCGGGGCTGCCGCCGCGATCGGTTTAGTCACTTCAGCAGAGCGGCGCAACAAGGACGTGTCACGCGCCGTGTCCGTTGTAACAAGGACCTCCTTCCTTCCATCAGGCATGCCAAATGGAGAAGCTCCCTTCCTTTTTTGCTTCCGGGAACAAAACATCCCCGCAAGTTGTGCGTCACAACTTCGTCCAAAAGGTCCCAAGCTTCGAGTTGCCGCTACCCTACACAAAGAGGAGGAGTCCCCCTTCGCCCCGCTCTGGCCACAAAACCCGCCCAGCGATGTGTGGTTGTTGGCCCAGCCCAAACCCTAAGAACGCTGTCTGGCAACCAAGTCACTTGGCTGGAATTAGGCCCTCGTTGCCTCTGTGGAAAACAAAGGGGGGCCCAATGGCAATCCATCAGCTTCCGTCTGATTGGTGGCTTGGATTCATGGTTTTGTCGTGAAATGGAGGGGTTTCCCGTTGACCCTCTACAAGAAGCAGGGGGTCAAATCCCCAAACCACCAACTAGGAGTAACCTGAATCTAAGCCTTAAGCTCCTAGAAAAAACAAACAACGCCGGGATGTGACAATATTTTGGAGGGGTTTCCCATTTACCCCCTAAGGACCCTCTGCAAGAAGCAGGGAACCATACCCAGGAACCAACCAGGGGACCAGCCCTAGCAAGAAAAAAACTCAGCCCTAGGGAAATAAACAAACACCCCGGATCCTCTGGGCCCGTCCCAAAGCTCCAGCACAGCCTTGGGGCCACCTGCTTCCTCACAGAAACTGGCCGCCTTTACCCTCCCCACGTTGCCATGGCAACTGACAGGGGCCCGGTCCCTTCAAAAGGAAATTCATCTTCCGGGTACCTCCCTACAGGCGCCATGTTGGAGGAAGGGTCACCCTTGTCAAAGCCCCCCACGGAGGGGTAGGTACTCCCAGTTTCTGACTTTGATAAGCCCCAAAAGCAAACTACTTGAGCTGGAAAAATAAACCCGCATTAAAACTCTTATCCCAAGTTGTTTTCATTGCAAATCCAAGCGGCGGCCTTCATAAGCTTGAGGTCCCCCAATAGCATGCCCCTTTGAGTCTATGAGGTCTCATGTGCATACACAGCTGCAAATTTTATGCTAACAAATGCACTCGGCAAAATTGCTGGGATCTGCAAAAAAAGAAAATGCAAAATACAGAAATGGGCCACTCCTGCTCCAAGCAGTTTGCGGGCATCTGCGGGCTGCGCGCGACTTGCGCGGGACTTGCGCGAAAACGTTTTCATCTTTAGGCCATGGTGATGATGATGATGATGATGATAATGATGATGATGATGATAATGATGATGATGATGATGAAGCATCACTGCGTCACTTGCGCTTTACTTGCGCTTTACTTGCGCAGCCCCATGTTTGACTTGCGTGGCCGCTCCTGCAACACACTCCTGCCCTTCAAATTACAAGCGGCGGTGCAGCTGATTTGATACGTCCAAAACAACTGGGACCATGCCTTACATTGACACATACAACGGGTGTTCTTTCTCGGCTCACTTGGGTACTCAACTAGCGTTAGGTAGGGTCAAAGCCATGGCCATTGTAACCGGTGTAACTGGGGTGGTCGTCCCCTTCGAGTGGGCTGTCCTCCGACCCTGCTAAAAATGCCTTTTCGTGGGTCAATTGGAGAACCCAATCACCAAACCAACTGAAAACCAAAAAAAGAAAGGCTAAGGAACTGGATGAACCGCTGGGAGCCACCAAGATCACCATGGTTATAACATACCAAGTTGGTTGAACCTCCAAGTCAAGGAATCCCGCCAGTGCCGTCCATCGAGCGAACGTCAAATCGCTGAGCAACTTGACCCGAACTCCGAATCCTCCGTCTGCGGACCCGTCTGCGGACCGCGCCTCCTCCGAGCCGAAGAGCCAAGCAGCAGCTCCTGGAAGGCGAAAAAGAAAACACGAAAAGCGACAAAAAAAAGCTGCACCGGGCTGATTCTGCGGAAAAAAAACTGGGGCCCCGTCCCAGGAGCTTAAGGGTTAGATTCAGGTTACCTCTTGGCGGTTTGGGGATTTGAACCGATCCCTGCGTGAGGGTAAATGGGAAACCCTTCCGATTCACCGCAAAACCATGAATCCAGGCCACCAATTGGAGGGAAGCTGATGGATGGTTAAGGCCAAAGCAAAAAAAAAAAAAACAGTAGTGATGAATTCCTTTTAAAACCAACAAGGGAAAATAAAAAGTACTCTTAAGCAAATGGAAGATTATATTCGGCATTGTTCGTGGTAACTCTCAGCAGTTCATGATGCTACCCGCAACTTTGGAAGTCTAGCCACGTGGGGTTTTGGACTGGGTGCTTAGACACCTAGCATCCAGAGAGATATCATTGGAGTAGGTCATGCACGATTCTTGGCATGCACGATGCATGCAAAGCCCAGTGGGTCTGCAATCTGCAATGGCAAAGGCTTGCAAACAACCGCTGCCATTCAACTCACCCCAGAAGGGCAACTGCATGAAACAGGCCGCCGAGGCGGCCGAAACAAAATTATGCCTTGCAAAACGTGTCTGGTACCTGCATTTTTTTAGGTGTTGAGTCCTTGTCCATTCTTTTTCAACCATCTTTCTTTTCAAAAACCGATAGCTATTTTCCCTGGGCTTCCGGAGGTTTTCTAGAAAGAAGGATCCCTGGAAAGAATGGGAAAGGCACCCTAAGTCCTCCAGTAGAGAGGTTTCAATAAGGGTAGTACCCCTAGAGCATTGTTCTGATTCCAAGTCTTGGGGGCATGTTGAATGAGAGGACACTAGGAACATGTTGAATGAGAGTTATCCATGGGATGGGAACAGCTTCACCACCGTTTGCAATGGCTACAACCACTGGTTGATTGTGGGGGGTGTGGTTCAAGCAACAGTGTTGCGGAGCTCTCCAGAATGGCCCGCAACCCTCCCCCCGCAACCCCAAAAAACCCCACCCAACTAGCCTGTGGTAAATCAAGGGAAACCCCCTGCTCGCTGGAGGGCTCCGAGGTCCAAAGGCTGTTCGCTGTGGCAAGAATCGACTCCCCGAGAAAAACATCCGGGGTCACTGGACGTCCTCAAAAGTTGCCACGTGGTGTCCATTGAAATCGCCCGCTTTTGGAGAATTCAACAAGGGCATGGCTGGGAGACCTGCTTAGACATCTAGAGGTTGGAACAACCCTGTTCCGCCTAACGTTGTTCCGAAGAATCGCCTTCCCAAGAAAATCAAGTTGGGCTTCCCGCGCACCGTCCGCAAGGACCGGAACTTCAAATCCCCGAGCCACCAATTCAAACCGCATAAGGTGTGGCCCAACTGTCAGCTCAACGTTGTTCCAAAGAATCGCCTTCCCGAAAAAGATTCAAGCCAGATCCAAATGTCATCGCAGTCATCGACACAGGCGTCCTTTTAACGCGGGGAAACAGATGGGTTTCCCTGGTAGCTGAGCAAAGACCACCAGGTTTTTACCTGGAATCGAAACCCTTTGATTTTCCCAGCAAAACAAACCACAAAGGACACCTAATGTTGACCCAGGATTAATAAACCCGTCCCATTCTTAGGGGGGGTGTTCCCTCCAAAAGTGGTCTGAACCCCCACTCAAAGGAATTGGACACCCCCCCTATTAATCCACCAGGGGTTGCTCTTACTCCGGGGTTCACATTAAGGTCATCGCTGTGGCTCAAAATTCAAAAAAACCAGGGCAAACCGCAGGTCTTAGTCCTTTCCATGTACCAAGCTGCCATCTTGGGCTCCATCTTTTTGAGCCACAGCCAAGGTCAAGCTGAACCTCTCAAGTTCTTTTGCCGAGCGAGTGCTCGCCGAGCCGCGCTTCATGGCACCTGCGAGGCGAAGCTGAGAGAACCAAAAACCAAAAACGCCTCCCCAGTGGCTTGGGTCAAGCCACTCGCCTTTGCCTGGCTACAAAGAACAACTAAAAAACGAAACAACAAAAAAATTCAGTTGTTCAGTGACCCTGGAAGAAAGGCACCCTTTTTTGGGAAGACCATTTTAGTGGGGCAGCCACCCCCCCCCAAAAAAAAAGGGGGGGAAAAGGGAGCCACTGAGCAACTGAGAAACATGACATTGATACATAAGTGAATAGACAAGCAAGCAAACAAATGAATACAAGAAGACACAAATCCGCTCGGGTAGCCCCAACAGCCCTCAAACCCCAGCCCTCCCGAAAGCCTTGAGACCTCGCTTTGGGGAAAAAGTGACCGGCCAAGAGAAACATGGGTAATGATGGGTTTCCTTTAAAACCAGCAAGTGAAACTGGGAATATGTGTAAGCAAATGGCAGGTAGTGCAGATCTGGTGTTTGGGCTTAAGTCAGGCTGGTGGCTTTCCTGTCCTTGGCGCTGGCAAGTACCCCCATCTCAAAACATGGAAGCCCCGGTCTCCAAAATGGCTGGCGCCGCCTCGAAGCCCTCCCCCACCCCCCCCCCCGACAGCGAAGCGCCTCTTTCAGAGCCTCTCTGAGTCCAAGGTCGAAGTCGCGGCGGCGGGGGGTGGGGCCCCACGGCTGCAAGAAATGCGCGCGGCGAAAGCTATGCCAGGAGCAAGGAGCCACCCGCGCCCAAAGGGTATATGCTCGTCCGGTTGGGGGATCCCAATCCCTCTGGCTCGCTCTTATGGCTCTCCGAAAGGCCTAAGCTTTACATGGCCAGGGTAGCCGTTTCCGCATTCGCTGCCAGTTTTTGGTGCCCACCCGACGGACCCGCGGATTTGCGTTCCGTCAGGGATACTCAGAGTTGCATGAGCTGACGCGAATGCCCCGCCACGTATGCAAAACCGGTAAGACAGCCTGCAAGCGCCGTTTTCATGAGCTCGTTCTGCCCTTATTTGAGGATGCCATAGTCAGGCATGCCAAGCCACCCAGCAAAGTCCGGCGAATTTGGGGTTGAATTGCCGCTTTAGGACCCACGGCCAAATACCAAAGAACTTCTTGGGATGGACGGCCAAACGTCCCATTCAGTATTGGTCCGCTCAAGACCCGAAACTGGCCTTTCCAGGCTTTCATAAGTCGTTCCCGAGGTCCGAGCATCCCGGGCTTGTTGTCTAGAGCGGGCCTCGGACGGGGAAGCCACGGACGAGCACGCGGCTTCCGCCCCGATGGTCAGCATCCAATGCATACCGCGTCTTTTTTGAGGCGAAGGGTACCCTTTGGATGGGTTTTTTTTTCAAAGGGAAACAAAATTGAAACCCCCCCCGTTCTTAACCACCAAACCACCAACTGAAGGGAAGCTGATTGCGGTAGTCTTTTGTTTTTGACAGATTACACCAATTCAGCAGGAAAAAGGTGTCGTTCAAGCCCCACGAGGGCGCAATGGGTTCATGCTGAGCCACTGGGATCATCGTTTAATTTTGAGCACACACATATGGCAACAGCCGCTCATGCGCAACTAGGAAGCCCAAACACACCGTTGCCTGCTGTCTAGTCTCAGCGCAACATCTCAGGTTGTTGCAAATGAAGCGATCCCCAATCCTAATCCGGCACCCGTAGCGGGACACCACAAGGGAAGCCATTACCGTGTTGGGGGCGAGGATAAGTCTTGAGCAATTTAGGGTGTCTTCTGTCTCCTTCTAAGAAAACCAACCGGTGTCCAACCCCGAAAAGGGACCCCAAACAAAAAGGGCAGACCCATCTAGGCTTTGGCGAGCTTCAGCTTCCCTTTCGCGAAATGAAAATCAGCACTGCCGAGCGAGCGCCCGGCATCCCAGAGCCGTCCTTGCCGCTGTCCATGCCCATCCTCGAGAAAAGCGCCCGGCACCAGGGCTGGGTTAAGCCATTCGGCCGACGCATGTTCGCAAGCTGAGGGTTCCTGGGTTCCTCCTAAAGCGCAGGCTTAGAAGCAACCATCATGCTCACATCGCACTCTAGGTGGAGCGAATAAATCAAGGCAAAGAAGGTGAGCTTGAAGATACAACAAAAAAACTGTCACACCCACGTTCGTGCCCGCAAACCACTCCCTCCGCAACAAAAAAAACTCACACAAAAACTTTGAAGCTTTCGGGAAAAGCAAACCGATCCGACCCAAGACACGGCAAAGCGTCTCAACACTTGAGGCCCGCGCTGCTTCATCATTGACCTGGGAGGCTTTCATTGGTACTGCCGTTTGGGGCTGAGATCGCTCCACAGCTAGTCGAGGCGAACGTCGCCAGCTTCCATTTGCTTAGGGTTGCTGGCAAAAATGTTTCCAGTAGTGATAGGTTCCCTGTACCACCAACAGGGCAAAATAACACAATATTCATTTCAGCAAATGGAAGCCAATGGTCGACACTTGCGCTCTGAGGCGAATGCTTGCTCATCCCTCCACCGCCGCCGCCCATGCCACCACCTCATAGCGAATTTTGTCGGCGAAGCAAAAAAACGGCCGAAGGTTGGCTTTACAAGTGACATGATCCCAGCTTTTTTGAATGGAAACCAAAAGGGTCCCCAAACAAGATTAATCCACAAGCCCTTGCCAAGGCGCCCATCATACCCATCATCGGGTTCATCATGTTCATCATGTTCATCCTCGGCGATTGGCTGCCAACAGCTGCGTCATGGGCCCAAGTTGCGCATTCTGCAGATATGGCAAATGCTGGTCTTTTGCTGCCCAGCAACTTCCTGGGCATACCCTTGATCTGAGAGTGCACGTATTTGGCTGACCCGCCCGTCAACAATGCGCACACATGTCAAGCCTCTGCGACCGAGGGGCATCATCATGGAGGGGTCCATCCCCATCATCTTGAGCATGCTGGGGTCAAGGCCCATCTGCTTCATCATTTTCTCGCAGCGCGTCCGCGCAACGTCACAGGCTTGGCACGAAACGCGAATCAGGTTCGGGACAAGACAAGCGGCCTGTGAACCTATCTTCCATTTGCGTAAGCCGCCTGAAAAACATAAAATATGTATGTCCAGTGGTGATGGATTCGCTTCAACACCAAGAAGGGAAACTAACAAATATGTTTGAGCAAATGGAAGAAGAGCGCCAAATCATCTCGCAAGGTGCCCTTGGAATCGGAGAACTCGGGAGAGCTTGAAAGCTGTGTGGACCTGCACGGCTCGCGCCGCTTAGTGCCTTAGGCTTCAAAAGATGGCTCGTTTCCTCCCAGCTGACCTTACTTCTGAGTACCAAGCAGGTTCCCAGAGTCCACTTCAAGTTTCTTCAAAAAAGGGTGGCTCTATATGCGTATCAAACAAGTTCCCAGAAGAGAGTCCACTTCAAAGCACCCATTTAAACAGGCAAGAAAACACAACGCTCTCCAGAAGCATTGTCCATGCTTCACTTTGGCTGGAGAAGATCCGTGGCTTTTTGGCACACGGACCCCGGTCCTGCATGGACTTCGGGTCCATGCCTTATGCCGCAGGCGTTACAAACCAAGCCGCGAGGCATGTTGCCCTGGGGAATGGGGAACTCCTGTGATTGGACTAGGTCCTCCAGTAGTTTGAGGTTAGAATAAGGGTACCCACTTTTTTTTCGGTAGTCTATCTTAGTAGTGGCGGTTCCCCAAAAAAAGGGTACAGTAAAAGGGCACTTAGCTGAGGGACCTAGTGGAGCGTTTCTATAGGACTTTGGGAGAAATCTCGGCTTTTTCAAGGATGCCTTTGCCCTGCACCGGGGAAAAAAAAAAACGACTTCATCACCTGGTGTTCCCTCCAGAATAGACCGCACCTTCGGAACCTCAGGGAAAATCGCCTTGGAAGTTACTAAGGGCACCTGGGGTTGCACCTGGGGTTGCACCTGCACGCGCAGAGCTCGGCCCGGGGCCCATTTGCTTCATCATGGCAGGGTCCATTCCTGCCAATTCGCCGATTTGGACCGGAGCCCGCCGGTGTTGGGAAAAGACGCCAGGGGAAAACTCAAGGGACCTAATGTTGATACACGGCCATGTGTGATTTTGATCTATGGATTCCGCGCAGTGCGGCAAAGACTGTGTGACTGGCTAGAATTTCAGATCTGGGTTGCAAGATTCTCCTTAAAAAGGCTAGCTTACCGTGGGATGCATTTTGCTTTTTGCTTTTTCTTTGTTCGAACAGGAAGGTGGGGTTGGCGGACATCGAAACCCAAAAGCCTCTCCGGGTGTGGCGCAACGTTGTCTAAGTCTCTTGCGCGCTGGCTCTTGGGTTTTGAATGTTGTAGCACAACCCCCCCCCTGGCCCCCCAGGCCCACGGAAAACTCTGTGAAAACCCTTTGGCTCAGAGCCGCGCCCATCTGCTTCATCATCTGCTCCATCTCGCTAGAGCCTCAGCTCGATGCAAATCGGGAGGGGGAACCACACCTTCAGCGTCAAACTGCAAAAAAAAAAAAAAACATCCGCGGGCGAGGTGGCAGCGCCTCTGTTTTCCTGAAATCGATGCCTTGTCTTTGCACGCCGCGCGGCGTAGCCGCGTCGCCGCGCAGTGCACGCATGAAAACCTGAAAATCGGAAATCGGACAAGACCCGGCGCCAAAATCGAGCTGGGGCAAGTCATCCGGTGCCACCGGACACTCGCATCGGCCTTTTTCCGAAAAATAGATGGGTTCCCCTGGCAAATGGAATCCCCATCTAAACCAGGAATCGCCGAATCGCCCTCTACTTTCTAAGCAAACCAACCAAAAAGGACACCTATGGACACTCTCATCTCATCCTGGTTCCTTGGCGCTGAAACAGCTGGCTGCCCATCGCCGAAAAGCCCAGCTCCACCGCATTCCACTCCTGCGCGAGCGGAGTCACGTGCCCGGGAAAACCTGTCAGCCTGTTGCGCGGTAGAAACACGTGTCTCAAACTAAGATTAACTTGAGGAAAAGTCATAAGAAGGCGAAAATGGGGGGGGGGGGGGGGCAAGCTTAAAGGATTCTCTAAGCTTCTTTGGTCGACTTTAAGTGGTTGAGGGGTGTGTTTGGAGGGGTGGTGTGTTATTGAGTGATCGCCCAGAAGACGGGCGTAGGATCGGGCCTGAAACAAAACCGCGCTACGGATTCGGACCTTCCGAAGGAAGGCTTGTGATTTCCTCGCGGATGGCCGCAGTTTGGACCTCCATGTGGCTCCCTCTCAACAAAACCATTTTGTGGTGTCACTTTCCAATTAACTATCCGTGGCCTTCTCGGTGTCCATTTCGTTTCCCTCTTCTAAACAACACCCGCGAGAAAAAATGCGTCCCTCTAATCAAGCGACACCCTTCCACCCATTTCTCGGTCTCTCTTTGCTCCAAAAAAAGAAGAAGCAAAAGCAAGGAACTCCTTGGACTTCTTGGCGAACATCCGCATGAGCGTGGTCTTCCGCTTCATCTCCTCTCGGTTGCTTTCTGCTCCCCTGCTAAAAATTAATAACTTTAGTGGTTTAATTCGGAAAACCCACTAGCCGGCAAAAAGTGAAGCCCTAACATCCAAGCAAACTGCACCAAAGTTAAAGGGGCCCCTACAACTTAGCTTCCCTCTAATCATGGTCTGCTTTGGTGGTTTGATGGCTAAGGGGGGGCTTCCCATCTGCGTTCAAATCCCCTGTTTCATTTTGAGCCCCATACGGCCATGGGTCAGAACCTACGGCTCCTTAAAAGAAAAACTCATGTTGCCACCGCACAAAGGGGAGCCGCTGAACTGGGTACCTTTGTCCGTCCTCCTCCGTGTAGGTCAGCTCCGGCACCCAGGTCCCCCGCTGGCCGTGGGGCATCGCCTGCTCCAGCGCGAAGCGCGCCACGGGGCCGGAGGACGGCGACTGGGCGTCCAGGACGACGCACTCGCTGCGGTTGGCCTCGGAGGGGGGGGGGATGGGTGGGGAGAGGTGGTGGGGGGTGGTGGTGGGGGGTGGTGGTGGGGGGGAGGTGGGGGGGGAGGTGGGGGGAAGGTTTTTTTTTTGGGGGGGTGAGGAGGCCTTGGACACTTTGACTCGGTTTTGCAACTAGGAACCCTGAAAAACCAATACCCTAAGAAGGAGGGAGGTTTTTCCTGACAAAGGGGACATGAGGACTGAACAGACTACCCATCCCCGTTGGGCTCTGGGTGATTTTTTTTCGACCTGGCGGGCCAGTTAGCCCGTCAAGGGCTCCCACCTGAGTTGCCATGGAACCGAATGCTCCTGATGAAAAGGGTTTGATAAAAGGGAGGCATTTCTCTCCAGTGGGTTCCATGTTTTGTTTGTTTTTGTTAATACCCATGTTCCTGATTCTAGTGGGTTCCATGTCTTGTTTGTTATTTTTACTACCCTGCAGGTTTACACGGAGCCCTGACACCTGCATGGATCTGGATTCAACATGCCCAAATCCTAATCCGCAATCCGAAGCTGGGTCTACAAGGAAAGCCACCACCAGAGTTGCGCACTGTTTTGAACAACCCGTTGATTGGCCTCAGCTGAGGAAATTGACCCAAAGCGACCCTTGGACACTTGACGTTGAACATCGCCTGTGTCAAAGGGCATCCTGCTGTCTGCTGGCCACCCCTCACAATTGGGCCGAAGGCATGGTGTGATTCATCAGGAACCTGGCCTCGCCATTGTAGATCACGCTCATCAAGTAGCCGCTGTCCTCCTAAGAAAAAAAGACGATCCGTGTGGCTTTGGTTGCTGAAATGGATCCTTCGGGCCTTCAAGTGACCGCCAAGCTGGGGACTTTTGTGCCTTCAAAAGGCTTTCGGGTGTGTTTTACGTCTTTTTGGGTTGATAGGGTCGAACATCTAAGACGGACTCACCACCCCCAAACAACTGGCGGGACCCAGGGCTTCAATGGGAAAAAAAGTAAGAAGAGGCCACTAGCCACCATGTAAAGGGTATATATCCGCGTACAGGGTTCCACTTTTTGACCAGCACAGACGTAAACCCAGGGTGGTGCATTTCCCCCAGAAGGGGGACCCTGGGTTTAAGCCTGTCTTGGGGAAGTCAAAAAGGGAAACCCTGTCCGTGTACACATATATATATATATATATAGATACATCCTGCATTTGCCTGGGTGCCACGAGCGGTTTCGGGGGTAGCGGAGCCGTGGCCATTTTCTTCCCCCGTCCTCGTTGCCCTCCCTAGGGATGAACAGCGGCTCCCCGCAAAACTCCGAGGGCCCCAGCAGCCACTCGTCCACCTAGAGCTCACAACTGGACATGCGGCAAGTTGGGGGCACCCCCAAAATGTTCGGGCTTCGGGTTCCTCTTGGTTCCGCATGAAATCTCAAGAAAGGGGTGCTCGCAAAAATCCGAAACCAGGGTGCTTCTCAAGAATGGGCATCCTAAAAAGCAGTCCCCCCCCCAAAAAGAAAAAAAGGACAACCCCTCCCCTCCATATTGATTGATATACCCAACGAACATGCCTTCCCAGGCCCAAATCTCGCTCCAAATCGGTGTGACAGGGCCCCCTTTCGGGGTAGGTTAGAATCCCCATATCTTGACACATACTAGGCATGAATCCTAGGGAGCCATTCCCCAAGAGGATACTCGGTGTTTTGTGGTTTGACAGGGCAACAAAAACGAAAACCTTCTTCTTTTTTTGGGGGGGGCTAAATCGAAAACCATCCTCTTCGTCTTTTTTTTGGGGGGGGGATCCCCTAAACAACATGGCGCCTCCCCAGTCTCCATGTCGATCTTCGCGACACCGCCCTGGGCTGGGCCGTCCGGGCCGTCCGCGTGCGCCACGGCGCCGAAGACGAAGCGGTGCTTCTTGCCGACCACCGCCGGGTTCACACAGCTGAAGCCCAGGTTCTTTGCCAGGAAGCCCTCCTAAAGCTGCAGATTCGGAGAAGTATGGCAAGATGCCAGATAAGAGCTGCAAACATATGGCAAGATACTTACTAGATGTTTTGGCTGCAAACATATGGCAAAACTGGGGGCGGGCGGGGTGGGGGGAGTATCACTCCAACAAAGCGCGTCACAACGGACTGCCCGGCCGTTGTCAACCTGAATGTTCAGTGTTTTCCGCCCGCCTCTGGGTTGCTTTGGATTGGACACCGATGTCTTTTATTTAAAAAGAAAGTTGCAAGGGGGATTCATATGCCTGCCCATGTTTGGTTGTTCTTCTTTCTTCTGTTCCCTTATTGTTTTTTTCCTTTTGTTTTTTGGGGGGGAGGGGAAAAGAAGCAAAGAGCAAGTGTTACCTATTCTACCATAACACAACGAGCAAACGAGCAAATGGGTGAGGTTTCCATGCGCCAGCCAAATGTGATTTCTAGTGGGTGGCTGACGTGTTTGGTTTTCCTTCACGCCAAGCCCAAGAGCTTGGATATGTTCAACGACAGGGAACCTCGGTTGCTTTCTGCTCCCCTGCTAAAAGTGACTAACTTTTAGTGGTTTAATACGGAAAACCCATTAGTCGGCAAAAAGTTAAAGTCCTAACATCCAAGCAAAATGCACCAAAGGAACTGTTCCTCCTCCTCAAGAACTGTTCATTTAAAGGCCCCCATCGCGCCATTGAGGTATTGCGGGAAGGGCAAGGGGCAGATTTGGTCCTCACTGGGGATTCGGCTTGTAGCTGTTTGTGGCTTTTGCTTTTTGACTCAAGGCGACACCGTGGAACCATCTCTAAGCCCATTCACGTCAAGCTGCTCCTGCAGTTTGGGAACGATTTAAGAGTGGCTTCGTGCAACGGGGCTGGCAGAACTAGGAGGCTGTGCTCAGATTCTCTTTTAAAAGTTTCTCTGCCTGTTCTTTCTGGGCTTTAATGGAAAACCCCACCAAACCAACTAAAAATCTAACAAGCCCAAGGACTGCTGAACGACCAAAAAACACCTCTCCGCTCCTTCTTGGTGAAGGTCTTGGACGCCAGATCCACCTCGTACCGCACCAAGCGCTTTCGCGGCCACCCGCCCGGGTCCTGCTCCCAGCGGGGCGGAAACGGCACACCGGCCCGGCCGTCCCAGCGGTCCGCCGCCACCATGTCCAGGATCACCGAAGTGCCGTCCTCGTAGGCGTTCACAAACTCCTCCCAGGTGTCTGAAGCAAACAGTTGCTTGGTTGCTGTTGACCCCCCTGCAAAAAGTTTTTCTTTTTGGGGGTTTAGTGGTTCAAAACCCCATTATTGTCCAAAAAGTTAAAGTCTAATGAAGCTTCTAAATGCCTTCTTGTAGGGTTATGATGGGGCTCACAGCTCCTCAAGCCAAAAATGCTCCAAAAGGGGATGACCAGTTGGGAGAGCTGCCAAAAAAATAACCTGGCGCACCCTTGAAACGGGACCAATTGGGAGGAGGGTAGTAGGGTTCACAGACTCCTCCATTGCGAATGCAAACCTTTGGGGTCACTTGCTTCTCCTTTTCGTGTCAAACTGA